GGTAGACTCAAAATGAGTCTACCTCATCTCAACTTTTTCATTGCAGTAAAAATCCACAAGTATTTGACCAATCACATTGCTTGGGCTGATATTTTTTGTGCGTTTAAAAGAAAATTTAAAAAATATATAGAAATAATAAAAAAATGAAAATTATATTAATTGTAATGTGGGTATGCAAATTGATAACTGTTGGTATGATGTCATTATGTCAGAATTTAAGTTGATGCAAACACTGTAACAACCAATTATAGATTGGAGGATGTCAACAGAGAAACTTCACTTGTCTTGTAACAGTTGGTGGGACAAAAGCACTGAATTTGTGCACAGGAAGGATTCCAAGGATTATATAATCATAAACTTTGGTTTTTAAGTTATATATATTTTTTATTGTTTTATGGTTTATATTTTATTTGTAATTTATAACACTATTGCACTGAAGAGAGATAATTACCTAAAATGCATTTGCCAGATTAATAAAACCTTTGTAAAGTTTGTCAGTTGTTTCATCTACTAGACACTTAAATGCCAGAAATGAAAAAGAATACTGCTGGATATAAGTATTTATAAAAAAAAAAAGCAACTTACACTAAAAGTTAAATTTTGGAAAAAAACCAGATTAATTTATTCAGAAAAGAAACCCTTCTGGCTTATTTTATATGTCTAGCTTCAAAATACAAATTTTTGATATTCTAATTTGGAATGCTCAACACATTCTATGATGCTATTTACAAATTTTTTAATTAATGGAAAATTAAGTTTCATGTGCATTTGTTAACATCAAGTTCAGAAAACCATATTTGAAAATATATCATACATCTGAATAAAATAAAAGCCTGAATAAGAATAAACACATTTCATGAATTAGCCCATGTGGTTTTGCTATGTATATATCAATTCCTTGTTCGTTGGTGCTGTCTTTGCCATGTGAATTCCTGTCAACCACATGGCAGTAAATAGCATTATAGAATGTGTTGAACATTCCAATTTAGAATATCTGAAATTTGTATTTCAAAGTAGGCCTGGGGCAGACTTATAAAATAAACCAAAAATATTTGTTTGCTGAATAAACTTCTATCCTGAAACAGTGTGGATGGTTTTTGATTTGTAAGTTTATCTCAGTTTCAGCTTTTTCAATAGGTTTTAGTGATTTATGAATCCTGTCATTAAAAGATTAGAACAACTATTCTAAAGGAATTCAGATTCAGTTCTACCAGTTTTTCATTTTTAAATTCTCTTTTTTAAAAGTTTTTGTGCACATAAATATAAGATAAACTATATAAGATCAAAATATGGCTGATAGAAAAATGTGAGAACTTTTTGGTTCCTTTACAGTTATTTGCTGGAAATTGCATATAGGTGTTAGTTTCACTGAGTGTACTTGTCCAATGTGGATAAAATTCTATTGATATACTACCACCAAAAATACCAGAAACACTTTTCAACTTTGGTCTGTGATGCAAGGACTTCTTTTCACCCATTTTAATTTTTTTAAGGCTTGTCTGCTGTTATCTAGCATGAAAAAAACAAGAATTTGAACAGTCCTCAGATTTTTTTATCAGTCATATTTTGATCTTATATAGTTTGAGAGCTATTTATGTTCATGACAGCTTTTTAAAAGGAGAATTTAAGAATGAAAAGTGGTAGAATTGAATCTTAATTCCTCTAGAATATTTGTTTCAATCTTTTAACAACAGGATTTGGAAATAATTCTTACAGAATGCTGGTTAGAACTTTTATTTTACAAGATATCAAGTGGGATACCAATGATGAGAAATTGAAAATCTTAAAAGTGTTTTTATCTAAATTTTTATTGAAACTGGACTCCTTCAGTAAAAAAGAAATTTATTTATATCAGAATTATAGATTAATGTTATAAATANTATAATTATATATGTATACTTTCTGCCGTTCAGCGCCACGCTACGGAGAGTTTAGGCGAGTAAGTTGAGTTTACTATCATCTGTACAGTATGTAAATTAGGTACCGTAAGTCTAATACAGCACTAATTTTATACATTTCTTGTGAAAGAAACATTTCTTATTCAACGGCCATAAAAATTATTTATATTAATGATGTCTCCAAAGTTCAACAAAGTTTTTGCAGAAAAATAACTTATCAGAAATTGCGCCCGCCGTTTGGTGCGCTGCTTTGCGATGAAAACAAGCTTAAGCAATGGCGATGTCGAACGGTGCACACTCAGTAAGTAATCCCACAGTTTTTTGTTTATAGCATAGTTTATACGGATTATTCCCCCAAAAAATATACGTGTTTTGGAAATGTTGAGTCGAATTAGTCTAGGAATCGATTAATTTTATGGAAGAAAACCTTTCAAACAGCCATAGTCCGTAAAGTGCAAACGTGCTGGGCTGTGATTGGCAAGGACTCATACAAAATGGATTCATAAAGAACAGAACGTATCTACCGTGTTATAGGGGGGGTCGACTGTATAAAAACTGAAATGCAAGCATTTATTTAAAAAGTATTTAAATATTTTATAAGTAATGCATTTAATTAAGTTAATATTTTCTATATTGTGAAAATTTTTAAAATGTAGTAAGCATTATGCCAAATATCTTGAATATGATAGAAAATATTTGCTAGCTAGTAAATAATGACTCTGTGTCTACGTTAACACACACATCAACAAATTTTATTAGATGGGTCCTCAAAAATTTAATTTTGAATCATTTTCGAGAGGCATTCTTTTCATCTTTAGCAGAAACATTCGATACTCCATAAAGCAACAGCTACAAATATGAATTTTCAAAACTTCCATTTTCTTGAACATTTTACAACTAGTAGCAATGACCAAAACATTCAAAGTTCTGTTCTTTAGAATACTTTTAAACTTTTAAGATAGAAAGAACTATTTCCAAAATGATGTAAAATCCAAACTCCAATTAATTTCAAAAGCATTCACCAAATAAAACTGAAGATCAATTTCAAAGAAAGCAATGTTTTGAAAACGTGATGTGAAGATTAACTGATCTTTAGTTTTAATTTTGAATATTTTTGTGATTGGTTGGAGAGTTTTAATTTTACATTACTACAGAAATAGAAGGAAATAATTTAAAAGTGAAAAAGTATTCAGATACTCAGGAAGCCTTTATAAGCTGAAAAACAATTTAATTATGAACATTTTTGGTCATTTATAAATGATCAATAATGTCCATAATTAGTTTTTGTTGCTTATAGAAAGGTTTCCTGAGTGTCTGAATTTCCATTGCTGCAGTTTCTATTTTTTTACATTATGGTCAAAAGTATTTTAAAGAACAGAACTTTGCGGTTTGGCCATTGCTACTAGTTTCAATGTTTAAAATAACCAATTTTGAAAATTTTTATTTGTAGCCATTGCTTTGTGGAGTTCAAATGATTTTGCTGAAGATGTAAAGAATACCTCCCACAAGTGGTTTGGAAGTAAACTTTTGTGGACTCCTCAAATAAGGTTTGGTATTGTGCATGTTAATATTTACTATAATATTTAATATTAAATTTACCAAGTTAAAATTGTTGTTTTAGTAACGAAATCAGATGTTTGATATTGAACATTATACAATCAACCCCCCTATAACACGAGTTCCTATAGTCCTATTCCTATATGACGGCGAAAAAATTGCGACGGTATCCATACAAACATGGTAAAAAAACTTCTATACTGTAATTCGGTAAAACATTATCAGGCAGCCAAACTACTTTCCGCCGTCNTTTTTGCAGAAAAATAACTTATCAGAAATTGCGCCCGCCGTTTGGTGCGCTGCTTTGCGATGAAAACAAGCTTAAGCAATGGCGATGTCGAACGGTGCACACTCAGTAAGTAATCCCACAGTTTTTTGTTTATAGCATAGTTTATACGGATTATTCCCCCAAAAAATATACGTGTTTTGGAAATGTTGAGTCGAATTAGTCTAGGAATCGATTAATTTTATGGAAGAAAACCTTTCAAACAGCCATAGTCCGTAAAGTGCAAACGTGCTGGGCTGTGATTGGCAAGGACTCATACAAAATGGATTCATAAAGAACAGAACGTATCTACCGTGTTATAGGGGGGGTCGACTGTATAAAAACTGAAATGCAAGCATTTATTTAAAAAGTATTTAAATATTTTATAAGTAATGCATTTAATTAAGTTAATATTTTCTATATTGTGAAAATTTTATTAACATTTTATAATGGAATTCTGTTTCCAGTAATTATTTTTAAATTTTTACTTTAAATATTATTTTTATCTAATTTATATTATACCAGAAATATTTTATAATTTTTTTCAATTAAAAAATTTTCTCACTTATATGATTAAAATTTAATCATATAAGAGTTGAAATTTTTTATTAAAATTTTTATTTATAAATGAAATTTAGAATCTCTAATTGTGAATCATACATTTAAAATAAAACATTATTTTTAATATTATTGTAAATATAAAAACTTGTATAATTTAAAAACATTCAAAAACAAAATATGTGTGATCATTCAAAATTGTTTTAATATTTTTGATAAGAAAAAAGTTTTTTTAGATTAGAATACAGTAAATGCAGTATTTTAAAATTTATAAATAGTAATGATGATAAGGTAAATAATAACAGTTATTGAATATATTATTGATATAACTCGATTATTGTTTCAACCCTAACTTATGTCATGGAAGTTTGGATTCTGAACAAATAGCAAAAAAAAAGAGACTGGCTGCATTTGAAATAAAATGCCTACAATATATAAACGGAACCAAATAGACTGAACTAAAGATTAATGAGAGAGTTACAGATGACTTGTACTTCGATGAGTTGATGAGAAGAATATTCAAGAAACTACTACATTGGTTTGGACACGTGGAACAAATGAAGCTGGAAAGACCACCCAACAGAGTCCTCTATGCAAGAATAGAGGGAAAGAAACTAAGGAGAAGTTGGATAGAATTAATCAGGAATGCTTTACAATTTAGTTCCTAACATCAGCTTATATCACAGATTAGAGACTGTGAGATATGGAGGAAAAGAGTGAAGTCATGGAAGACTCATCCTATCACTAACAGAAGAGTGTGATTATGATGATTCAAATTTATGTTCCATCTGTAGAATCTGATGATGGGCCTTTGATATAAGTTGAAAATGTTTGTTTCTTATTAAATTTTGTTCTTTACTGGATTAAGATATAGTTTGGAGTGTTTAATATTAAATTCACATGTAAGAATGGTTTATACTAATATGTATTTCAAGTGGAGATTCCAGAACATAAAATAAATTCAGGTCTGTTTCAAGATGCACTTCCACACTCAAGTTAATTAGCAAAACAGTTTTTATTCAAATCAAAAATTGAACTTTTTTTTCCTTTTAAATTTTCTGAATCCCCATCAAAAATAGAACAATATTAAGATTCTAGAACAAAAAAATATACTTTTTTGAATCCATCAAATATGTTTTTCGAACATCCAAAAAAATTTTTTCCTGTTTCCATCATTACATAAAACAAATTCAAAACATATAAATGAATATATAGTGTTTTTCACAAGTCATACATTTATACATTGCCAGTTTATACATTTTTTACCCAAAACTGATATTCAGTTGGTCAAGATCTCTTTCCTCTGCCAATTGGTCCCTGTACTGTTGCTAGGGCTCAAATTTGGGTCAGAGAAGATGAACATCTCTCTCCACACCAATGTCCATCACTTTCTGCAGTGTCTAATTACAACTTCCCTGGGGTGACAGTCCGTAACTTAGAAAACGATGTGTTTTTGTTTTCCTGTTTGGAGAAGAATGCAGCTGTGGCTAAAAAATTTCACTCTACATCCTGATGCAATAAAGCATTTATTCCCTCCATTTGTCTTATGTATGGCATGTAAGGTCAAGAGAGTTTGTTTACAATTTTTCCCTTCCCAACATTTAGCTCAACCAAATTATATTTTCTTTAACAACACATTTCTTCACATTTCCTCCATCTCCTTCTCCAGTACCAACTTTGGTATTCTATTTTCTCCCATTCTCTTGGTATATTGAAACCACTTCAGTTTAATTTGTTCTATCTTCTTTTTTAAATTTTCCATTTCTTCTGTTTTTCTTATTTTTTCAATTCATATCTTGTCTCTTCTGGTCTTACTCATGCTCCAGAATGCTCTGGAGGAATTTCATTTATTCTGCCTGGATCTTTGTCTTCTCTCTGTGATGCTGCAGCCCCATGAGTCAATGTTGGGATATGAGTCAAGTATAATTGAGTCAAGTATATATGAGTCAAGTATAATTGATAAGGACCTTCTTACATTTGAATGGCACTTCTGTTTTCCAGATCGAAGTTCTCATACTCTGGTAGAAGTGTCCAGCTTGCTGTATTCTTGTACTTATTTCTTTGCATTCTTTGCTTAACTTTCCGTCCTTTGATATTTCTGTTTCCAGGTATCTAAAGCTGTCAACATCTTCTAATAACTCTTCATTCAATACACAACATCCTGTTCATTTAATTTTTTTTTTTTTGTGTGGTTATTATTGTGAGACTATGGGCGAAGATATTGTACCTTCTAGTCGTCAGGACTGTTAGTCTTGCTCACTCAGTCCCTGGATGGCTTAAATTAGAAATGTATCAGTCCGGATGACATTTCTAATTTAAGCCATCGTTAATTTGTCCTGACAGTCAAATGGATCGATAGATCCGTTTGACTGTCAGGACTGACACCAGCTGGTAGTGCAAAACTTGCAATGTTATATGTTATAATTAAAAGGAGGGTTCTATTCTATCGAGTGGGGAGTGTCACAGGTAAGTTTCGACTGCAGTGGGGTGAATGTCTATGCTTGGGAAAGGGAATCAACAGGTTAACAATATCAAAAAGGATTTAATGAATAAAATAAAACAAGAGATACAAAAATTGAGATATTTAATGTAACCTATCGTAACCTTTAAATCTAAGATACGTCTCTAAATAAAATGAGAGAGAGTTTACAATTGGTTAAAAAATAAGGATAATACTTCTGTTGAGCAGACTTGGAGAATGTGAGACTGATGCTGGAGAGTCATAGAGCTGGACTATCATCTCCTTCTTCCTATGACAGGTACTGTACCTTCTGGTCATGGACTGTGGTTAATATGACAATGTTGAGTTTCTATTGACTGCCTATCAATTATGTGGCAATTTCGAATTACTGTTGACTGTTCTGAACGCATGAAATTTTTCCCTATTTATTCTGTTCCCACCAATCAGATTGTAGGATTCTGCTCATCTGACCGGACACACATCTGATGCAAGAGGCAGATGTTCATCAGATAATTGTGTTAAGTAGTTTCTAAGGGAAGTTCTACTTCCCTTTTCCCACAACAAAATATGACTTTTGTCTTATTCTTTTTTTGTTTGACACTTTGTTTTTACTTTTTTTTTGATTTTGAATATGTGTACAAATTTTTTCTAGCCATTTTTCTAATAATTTTCTCACATACTCATTTAACATAAACATTTTGATATTTTCTGTTTATATTCTTTATTTCTATTTACTTTATTTCTAATAACAGGTTGAGTCTTCCAAGACTTCACTCTTTTCTCCATATCTTACAGTCTCTAATCTGTGATATAAGCTGATGTTAGGAACTAAATTGTAAAGCATTCCTGATTAATTCTATCCAACTTCTCCTTAGTTTCTTTCCCTCTATTCTTGCATAGAGGACTCTGTTGGGTGGTCTTTCCAGCCTCATTTGTTCCACGTGTCCAAACCAATGTAGTTGTTTCTTGAATATTCTTCTCATCAACTCATCGAAGTACAAGTCATCTGTAACTCTCTCATTAATCTTTAGTTCAGTCTATTTGGTTCTGTTTATATATTGTAGGCATTTTATTTCAAATGTAGCCAGTCTCTTTTTTTTGCTATTTGTTCAGAATCCAAACTTCCATGACGTAAGTTAGGGTTGAAACAATAATCGAGTTATAAACTTTGATTTTAACTTCTTTTGTGAGCCTTCTATTATTCCATATTTTATTCAGTCTGTTAAAGGCCAACCAGGCAATTACTAACCTGTACTTAATCATTTCAATGTTACTTAAATTGTCAGTGGTAAGGGCCACAGGTAATTAAATTTATTTATCTGTTCAGTAGGTTTTCCTTCTAAAGGTTCCTGCTTCTAGATATCACCATTGCTTTTGTTTTATCAACATTAATCAACATATCGTATTTTTTTGCTATTTGATTCGGTTTTACCAATGATGTTTCTATTTTACTTTTTGAATTTGCAATCATAACTAAATCATCTGCATACTTAATATGGGTTAGGCTGTATCCATTTAAATTAATACAATCCAAATCAATAATGCCACATCAACAACTGCTGTAAATCATTGGGCTATATCAGATTATATCATATAGTGTCTGATTAGCTATTTCTTCTAGGTAGATGTTGAAAAGAAGGGGTGAGAGAGAGTGGGCAGCCTTGTGATACTCCTCTCCATTGTTATCTTGTAAATGACCAGATAATTGTATTTTACTGTTCTGTTAGTATTATTTAAATGATTTATTAGAAAGTGCAGAATCTCATTTTCTATAGGTTTTTGTCTGAGAATCTCCAGTAAATTCTCTCTGTTGATTGAGTCAAATGTCTGTTTAAAGAAAACATATAATTTATGATTATATAGACTCTCACCTAAACATCAATTTTCCAGCAAAACATGTTTAGGTGAGAGTCTATATATTGTTCCAGTTTATTTTGTGATTTTTATGTATGACTAGCAGATAAGCTTGGCATTGCTTGGGCAAAAAGTAATGATAGCGAAGATTAAGATTATTACATTACAGCCAATCTTACCCATTTTCACAGAATGCAAGAATTAGGTTCCCCTGTTTCCAGACTAATTAGAAAATTTTTAGATGGGTCTAAAATTATGTTCGATTTAATGCAAAAAATCACATCTGCGCCTGTAAATCTTGCACGTTGCTTTCTCTTAACATTTCCATTGTTGAAGCCTTAATCCTGTCCCTTTCCCCACGGGGGGGATTTAAAAAAATCCCTTGTTAGTGTTTGTTCTCATGACGTACCCTAACTGTGTACCAAATTTCAAGTTTCAACTCCTAACCGTGCTGAAATGCTCGTATACACATGCGCCATCTATCTTAGGATAAATGTACTATGCTAGAAACCTTCACGGGAGTTTAAACAACTTCCCAAAGTTTCATGGCAATCAGATAAATGGTGTAGTAATGCATGAAGGACAGATAGACATACATTCATTTTTATATACAGTAGAGTGTCATTTATCCGAATCAGTTGGGGACTGGGGTTGTTCGGATAACTTATTTTTCAGATAACTGATTATGTACAAAAAAATATATTAACCTATCCCATGTTGAAATTTTTCTCCATTGCGTGTTGCTTTGCGTTGAATTTTCGTCGATGTCATGCCTAACATAAACTTTTTAAAATAATAATCGTGGCTATTGTATCGTTAAAAATTATTTCTTTATTTTTTACAAACAAAATAAATATATTGAAAAATATAAAAACAAAAAAAAATTATACTTTAGAAGTTAATCTAGTATCAAAAATGTTGGATTCAGCACGACACACAGTCCTCAGAAAAACACCACACAAAAGTGCCAGTGCTGTCAGCTAAAACACACATATCAACAAAAAAAATATTGGAGTAGCCCAAGATATAGCCAAAGATTGCAGCGCCACAGCACTAGCAAAAATTTAAATTTGCCGACTGGAATTCTTTCGGATAAATGACGCTCTACTGTATATAGATTATGTTTCCAGTGTAGCTCTGCTAGCCTGAATAAAGTAAATATTTGGTCAATTGTTGACTGACCTCTTCTAAATCCAGCCTGTTTTTTAAAGATGATATTTTCATAAGTGGTTTGCACCCTGTTTCGAAGTATTTTTGTAAAAATCTTATGAGCATGAGAGAGCAATGTGATTAGTCTATAGTTAGAGCAAACTCTTTTATTTCCCTTTTTATAATAATTTCTGTTTTCCAATCTTTTGGTCCTTTTCTAGAATTTAGAATTTTATTAAAAGTGAAATAAGGAATTCTACTGCTGGTTCTTCCCCTGCTCTCTAATAGTCTGAAGATATCTTATCAATTCCTGATGCTTTACAATCACATATTTTTTTTAATATCATATTCTATCTATTAAGGAAGGATTTCTATAATATGGCCATCATTTTTAAGTTTTTCTATATAACTGAGGGTCCATATTTATATAACTTTTTCCTGATTTCCAGTTTCATTTTCTGGCTAGTCAATCATTGTCAGAGGAGCACTTGAGAAGCTGTATATAATCTCTATGATGGTTTTAAATAAGATTTTAATACTATGTGTTCTTGTGGCCTCTTCATGCTGTTCAGCTTTATCATTGAGCCATTTCTTGTTAGCTTGTTTGCAAAGCTTGGATATTATTTCTTAGTTTCCTACATTTTTCTTTCTCATTCATATTGTGTTGATCCAGTTAAAGCCTTTAATTTTCTTTATTCATTGTGCTTGTCTAGAATTTCCTGAGTGTTCCATTTATTATTAGGTCTTCTGTATCCAAAAATCTCACCTGTTATATTTAGTTCTTGCCAGTTTCCCAGTATATGTTTATATTTTCAATTTTAGAATTGGATATATAAAGGTAATTTAATTTCATTTGAAAATTGTTTCTTTTCTTTTCTGTAAATTTGTTGATAGAAATCAATTTCTCTTGAGGATCTCTTTCTTAAAATTTTCACATGAAATTTTCAAAGGATGTAAAATATTAATGGTCAAAATTTAAATCTAAGCTCTTTTAATATTTTTTACATTTTTCATAAATGTTTTCCAGTTTTTGTTCACCAGTATAAATTTGAATAGAAAACAAAATTAATATATGTTGTGATTTGTTACATTTGTAAGCTTTAAAAATAAATAAATAAATAAATTATTAAATATGTTTTGAGTTTGATAAAAGAAAAATAGATACAAAATATGTGAATTAAATAAGTAACCAAAACATAAACAATAATACAAAATTAAATAAGTACCAATGAAAGAAGTAATAGTAAAAAACAAGTATAATATTATAACAAGAAAAATATATATAAAAATTAAATCAATCTGTGTATAGTAACAATTTGTATGTCGAGACTAATAGATCAGAGGATGTTCATCATCTGCTGATTTCAAGCAAAGTTCTCCAAGCATATGATGAAAGTACCATGTCTATGTATTTGATTGCAATGCCTTTAAGTATATTTCTGTATATTTCCAGTACTTTCAAATATTTTAACCAAGAAGGAACTTGGGTTTGGTGGAGAAAACTGAATCTGACGTTAATGCTATATTATTCAGCATTTTTGTGATTGATTCCTGGTTTTCATTTGATCGTCGTAAGTAGTGATCTACATGTGGCACCAGTATACTTGTAGTAATGATCAACTCTGTGGTCTTGAATGGAATTGAGTAGATGTCAGGAAGAGTTTTTTTGTCTGTAGGATCCTTATCGTTCCTTACTAGGCTGAACACAGTTCAGCTTCTCTTGTATGCAGTATGTACACTAGAGTGTTGCACCATCTGTTTGTAGATATTGCCTAATAAACCTAATAAATAACTAAGTTTTTTATTTATCAGATTAAGGTGTAGTTTGGAGTATTTGATACTCATGATAATAGAAGAAGAGTGGATTGAGGATAAAACTTTTAGTAATAGTTTCATTCATAGTAAATATCTTTAGTTATAATAAACATAAATATATTAAACAAGTCAGCCTGATAATATATAGATATATAGCTAAACAATTGCCTTAAATATATGTGCTATTTTTAATAATTAATACTAAGTAATCTGCTATTAGAGGTAGACGTTACAAGCCATCTTATTTAAATTGTTAGATAAGAGATGGCACCTAACATCTCCATCTAGTAGCAAATTACTTAGTATTAATTATTCAAAATAGCAGGTTTATAGCCTGAGTATTTAAGGTGATCATTTGGCTATGTAGTTATAATAAACCATATTAAAATAATAATTGCTATACAGATATACCTTGCTTTACATCAATAATTGGTTCCAGGAGATACGATGTAAGTCGAAAAATGACGCAAGTCAAATTTACTTGTCACTAGGCTAAACCACAAATAACCATTCCCAGTTCTGTATTTTATTTATAAATGCATTTTTAATAATGTATTGTTAATAAGAATCTATTTTAAGCTTAAAAACAAATAAATTGTAGTTTTTAATATAGTACAGAAAAAAGTAATCTAAATTTACAAATTCATGTACCCTTGTAAATGTACGTACATGTTTACAATTTGGCAATGTTTACAGTACATTGCAGACTCTATTTGTGAATGTGATTTGCTCTAAGACATTATAAAATAAGACGATTTTGTAAGGTTAAATAACAAATACAATTAAAATTATCTTGCGACAGTAGAAAATAAACTAATTTATATTAAATTTACCAATATCGAGTGGCGCTGACAATAACGCCAAATGGTAGATATTGGAACTACTGTGAAAAACACCAATATTGAGCACTTAAAGACCACTAAATAAGACGATAACACAGTCACCGACATTTTCATGTTTCGTTCTCTAGGATTTATGATGATTATATTAACATTTACTGTGAATGTACATATTTTAATATGATTTTATGTGCTATAATGCTTTTCTAGTGATATTACGACTTCAATATTTGTGGTGGACGGACGTAAAGTCAAATAAAATGACTTAAACTTGATTTTTATTTTTCCATATATTTTTTTTGACAAACAATGTATAATCGAGAATGATGTAACTTGAAACGATGTAACTCGAGGTATACCTGTATATATATATAATTGATATGTATGTATTATTCTGATTTGGTTTACAAAAGATGAAAGTGAAAGTTATCAAACTTTATTTTAATTAAAATTAATATATATTAACTAACTACTGTAAATAGGCTATATGAAATTAATGTATTTGATAAATACTAAGTCGTAATATACTGTATATTACGAGATATCTTGTAAAAAGAGATCTAGGGTAATAGCTTAGAAAGAACTGTCAAATTCATGTAAAGGATTCTTACTTTCATATTAGTGATGTAACGAATATTCGGTTACTATTCGGTATTCGGCCTATTTTTCGCTATTCGGCCGAATACCTAAAAACAGGAGTAAGAAATAACAAAAACACAGTAAATTAATCATTTTGGTATTTAGATTTAATGTTATCGGGTTAGTGTTGTTTGTTTATATTTATTTATAACTTATAACATGCACAAAATAAAAAAGAACATAATATTAGTCACATGTATTCACAATTTATAATTACAAAGATCAGCACACGTACACACCTATTCGTTCGAGAATCATCGCACATCTGAGGGTCTGACCTTGCCTATTGTTTTTTTTAAGCGCTCGTCTTTGCTCTACCCTTTCTTTTTTCCTCTATCGCTCTAGTCCACGTATGCCTACGCATACATCATAATACGCGCTCACGATACTTTCAATTCGTCACTTTTCCGTCGTAGAGTTCCCATTTTACAATTGCGTGACTCATAGCCTGGTGATAACGAAGAAAAGAGACAGATAGGACGTCGATATAAGTCACAGTTATGATTTCACAGATATGAAACAGCTTGGTAGCCCGAACGACCCCAGGCATTATTCACCTGTGCACGCTAAGTGATTTAGCTTTCCGATGTCTATGACAACAATTGTTTGGCATTCACGGCCGCAAATTTCGCGCCAATAAGCTGCCTCGAACAAGTTGAGGCAGCTTATTGAGTTGATAACATAATCGGCTTGTTCGATTATGTTATCAACTCAATTTCATATTTATTTTCACTTTGTGTTCCTTCTCTGTTCTTCTTCCGTTATTTACACGTGTAGGTCATTTCATTGTTATCCATATTTGATATCATCATTTATCACATACTGCCATGACGCTCTTGTCTGAACTGTCAAGAATTAATGTGATTGGCGAAGCATAGTGACAGTGGGCCAATAGAGAGCAGGGCCCTTGCAATAATGCGGTTTGCGCACCAATTTTCGTACGTGCAATAATCAAGCCGAATAGTTTGGCCGAATATTCGGCTATTTGGCCACGCTCCTGGCTGAATATTCAATATTCAGCCTGAGGCCGCATATACTATTCGTTGCAACACTATTTCATATATTACTGAGCATGGGCTATTTACTGGTGCATTAGTGAATTTTCCCCATCATCAAAAAGAGATGGTAAAATTAGCTCATGTCCTATTGCATTTAGAATTACATTTCCAATCATAAAATTTTAGAGCAGGAGAAAATTAGTACATTCCACATTTTGTATAATCAAAAACAGAGAGGAATACCACTTATTCCCAAAAATTTGAGGGGTTTTGTAAATTTGGCTTTTCCCATAATGCTGAGTTACTTTGTAAGTGTTTGCTTCTCAAGCTTTAAGTAGTTTGTGATAAAGCTGTCAGTGAATAATACATTTTAGATGCATTAAAGATCTCACAGCACAAAATGATAGCATTTTATTCATCCAGAAGGGTAAAATAAACAAAAAGTAAAATAAACTTTTTCAAGATCACAAATGTATATCAAAGTGAAAAGGCACTTTACTATATTCTATGTCAAAATATGTAAACACTTCCATTTAGCAGTACCTCAAAAAAAAAAAAATCATTCAAACATGTCTCTATTAACCACAATGGGAAATGTTTATGGTTGTTTTATTTATTGTATTTCTTACTTATCTGTTTTTATTAATTATATCAAAAGTATATATAGTTAATTAATAAATTAAAGATTATCTGCTAACAGTGAAAATTGTTCATATAAATTAATTTTTATTTGTAGAAACAAGAAAAGAGAATGCAGCATGCTATGAAGGAAACTGAATTTTTGAGGTTAAAACGATCTAGATTAGGGGTTGAAGATTTTGAACCACTTAAAGTTATTGGAAGAGGTGCTTTTGGTGAAGTGAGACTCGTTCAGAAAAAAGATACAGGACATGTTTATGCGATGAAGATTTTAAGGAAGGCTGATATGTTAGAAAAAGAACAAGTATGCAATAATTTCATAATTTAGTTTTTAATTATATACTGTATTGGTCTAAATATAAGTCAACTTTCAGTTTTGGAGTCCTTAACTTTTGAGAGAATTAGCACTGAAATATAAGATGATCTTTTATTATTAATTTTATTTGAATACAAAAATTAGCAATTTACATTAAAAAAAGTTTGGAAACTCATTGAAACAATATTATATCAATTTTAATTCTGTCAGAACTTTCATTATCATCATTCTTGTTTCCTATTTCATTTCCATCAAATTGTTAAGCTCCCTTTAACAGTACATCATCTATTTTGTCCAAGTTAATGATAACTAGTGATGAGACAATATCAAAATTTCTTCCAATTTTGATTCTTTTGAATATTTTCTAAAGTTTATTTTAGTTTAGAAAAATTAGATTTACATTATGAGTAAGGTCCATTTATTAATTAATAAACATCTAGCTTAACAATGGAAAATTATTGGAAAATTTGGAATCATCTTTTGAAAGAAATCCAAAAATTCTTCTTTTATATGTGGATATGTATGCTTTTATTATGTACTACAAAATAATTTTGTAATCTTATTTCAGATAAAGTTAATGTTGCAACACTACCCACAAAGAAATAATAGTTAATTCCCTTTTTACTCAAAGAATTATCCCATTGTGTCATCTTGGGTTACCATCTTTAGAAACTTTTTGAAAAGTCTTTAGAAAGTTGTATGATAATAAATATTACTTCTTGGAAGCATAAGGTATTTGAGTCAAAGCATCTTTAGAAACTGCTTTGTTGGCCAATGCCATGACTGGGGGAGAGGGGGAAGGTAAATGAGAAGATGCACTTCTTTTTTTAATATTTCTCACAATTAGTATGCCTCGAAAATGCATTATTTTATGATATTTAACACTAAATGAGGTTTGGCAAATGATGCAATGAACCAAACAAATGCCATCATCGCATTCTTTCATTTGAATCAGGTCTTTCTAAATGTATAATTGCACAAACTTTTTCAAGGAAAAGGAGAATCAAATGAATGACTACTCTGATTCACCTTAAAATCCAGCAACTAGTTGCTAAACTTTTCCTGTCAATGTTTGGTGGTGCCATCTGTTATGATATCTTATTAAAAAACTTTTTATATATTTTTAATTATCATCAAATGGATAAAAGCTTAATTTTGAGGGTAGGGATGGTTTTTATAAAAATTGTAAATGCTAATACCAAATACAATTGTCACTGATACACATGACCCCCATTATCACTTGACTTTTAATCACCAAAATTTAATAGCATCAACCTTCTTAATAAACAAACCTCCCTGCAAAATTTCAGAAATTTTTGACAAAAATCACAGGAGTTAAGCTTCAAAGAGGGTGAACAAAATCATGCTTCCCATCACATACACATCCATATATACAGAAAAAATTTGCATAAAACAATGGAAGGAATACTGTGGAAGATAAGGAAAGAGATAATGGAAACAGTGGACATGATAACAATATTTGCTGTGTAGTAGTGGAGTACAATCATGTTATGAAGAACATATATAAAGAGATAGCAGATATAAGAATACCAAAATAACATAAGTATGCAATCCTACTATATACAACTTATTATGCAACAGCAAAGATGTGCCCAATCAACTCTGCTTATTGGGAGTATATCATATTCCAGTGACGGACCATAGGGACCAACAGGAATTGAAGTACATAGGTTCCACAACATGCTCTCTGCAAAAGAGATTGACTGAATATAATTATGATATCAGCCACAAGAATCTCACCACCAGCTTGGCTATTCATGCCTCAGACAACAACATCCAGGCCAATCTACAGAACACTGCCATCGTTACGAGAGCCATTAATGATCAAAAAATGTTAGACCTTGGAATTGCTGGAAATATATAAAGCCAAAAAAAAGGGAGAAGCATTAATTTCAAGGATGAAAAACACTTGCCCTACGCATGGCAGATATTACTTTAAAGCACATTTATGCCATTTAATGACATCAAATTTAAAATTTAAAGAATTAAACAGTTTGAAATGGGTTTAAACTATTAATACCAAATTATCATTATACCAAAATGTACATCAATATCCATGACCTATGCAAATTTTATAAATTATTTTTCTGTGAAAAGTTTTTTATAATGTTTTATTACTTAGCTAATTAATTGTGCTATTGTTTTTTATGAGAGTTTTTTATTAAACTAATGAAATTGTTCTAAACTTTTATTGGACCAATTTGACTTTGGTAAAAATTGTTTAGCACACTTTTGGATGTTTTTTATGACATCAGCAGGTTTTGTTGTTTTTTATTTAGTTGAAATTTTTATGTATACCTTTTTTTTTAAATCCCCCCCATATTTTTTGAACCAGCAGATGAGCCCGGTGTAGCCCGGGCAAAAAACAACAACAAAGGTTAAGATTATTAGATTATTTTGTACTTCTAATCCTTTTATTCTAGTAGCCCAGGATGCCCCCTAGTGGTCATTCTAGCAACAGGGTATCATTCTGTGGTATAAATAATAAATTCCTATTACAAATAAAAATAATAATATACTGAATTTCTCGTGGTGTACCCTATTAAAACGCAGCCAAAAGTGCAAAACATCACATCAAATAATAATATACTGAATTTATTGTTAATTTAAATAATAGCTAGGGGTCCCCTAGTTGCCATCCCTATTTTTATCCCCTTATTTTATTTTATTTTATTTTTATAGTTTATCCCCTATTTTTGGCATACAGTGACAGAAAGAAAGAATCCAGTTTTTCAACTTTATATAGTTAGATATATATGGTAAACGAGTCCCCCTCCTGCTTTAAACAGACCTTCCAGAGGCCTACATGTAAACATCTGGGGGGAAAGTAATCACCAGCTGTTCTCAAGGTCAACCAATTTGTAAACAATGTAGACTGCATTTGTGAATTATCACTCACTTTCAAATGAAAGAATAACAATCCCTGCAGCTATATTTATCAAATAAAAGCATTTTTTTTAGATTATTTTAAATTTTTTTAATATAGTTTTTCTATAAAAACACATTTTTGGGGGTATTTATTTTGCGGCAATTTTTTTGGCTGTCAGATTCGCTATTAAGTGGAAATATTTATTTAATATAAAAAAATCAATAGATTTCATAATTTTCCAAGTAGAAATTAATTAGGCCTCGGGAACTAAATTCATTAATAAGTGTAAGTAGAACTAAAAACTATAAACTAACATTTTTCTTGATGAGTTCTCAAGAGTGGCAGAGAGAGGAGAGCTCATTGATACTCCATGTTTTTGCTTGTAAATAATAATATTAAACTGGAATCAATTGTTCTCTGTGATAAGAAAAAGCATATTCCTCCAGTCTAAGTCCTGTGAGACAGAGTATCCAGCCGTAAGGAATAAAGCATTTGCGAGCATGACTGTATCAAAGTTTGGTACCAATGGATACAAAGAAATCACATCAATTTCGTGAAATCAAGATATGCTAGTGGGAGTGGAAGCAAACTCATTATCAAAGGCTGACTTAGTATCAAGTTAGTTACATAATTAGAGGTAGGCTTTAAAGATGTAATATTCTTCACAAGTGTCTTCTCCAAAAAGTATGGTGGGAGTGCTTATTGACTAGTGGGCCACTGGTCAGTGATGTTTTTAGGATGCATATTCTTTGAATTATTTCAGTGGATTAATTAAAATGGACCAGTCTATATACAATATATTGATATTTTGTGTAGAAATAAGAAATTTAGTTTTAATTATGATCATAACTAGTTGATTACCATACATTCGAATATAAAAACATTTTTATTAAAACATCCAGAAAATGCTACAAATCCCTCTTGTGATCAGTGAATGCATCTACTAATTGTCTTTCTACTTCTAAACATCTTTTAAATATACATAACTTAACAAACCCAATTTGTGATTAGAGCAAAATGATATGCAAAATTATCAGACTATAATAAGACTAAGTTAATAATTACGTACAAAGTAATTTGTTTAGAGATTGTTTAGAGATTAGAGATTTGTTTAGTTAAGCCATCATCTCATGATAATTTTACCATATTTCGCATATTGACTGACATGCTACATATAACCAGGGAAGAGCAGCATGCCAGTTAAACTGCAACTAAAAATATAACCAGTCACATCTAATAAAATTAGCAGTTAAATAAATTTTAAAGAAAACATTATTCTGAGTACAATAAAATAATAACATTGTAATTTGAGTAACTTAAAATCAGGAAGAGTTTTCATTTACAGAATAATAAAACAATTAGTGGCTTATTGACATTAGTAATAGTAGTTAGTTGGTGTGGGCTGCACTGAGAATATACTCTGAACTTGAACTCCTTTCTTTCAAATTTCACAGAAAGCAATGTTAATCTGTATAAGTTCAGATAATTTATATCTAGTTTCTGAAATTTGATATGTTTATTTTTGCATTTTTTGATGTAATTACAATAAAATAAGCAAAGAAAAAAAAAACACTTTTGGCATTCCATGGGTATTTTACATTGTTAGAAAGAAGACAAATGCAGAAAATAAACATATATTTATAGTTTTTGATGTTAACCATTAGTAGAAAAATGCAGAGGACCCAACATATATTCTGGACAAACAGATTAGAGAATAGTATTTTGGTTGCACAGGACCCAGGAAAAGTGGTTAGGGAGTTACAAGACCTACTGTTAATGGATGAAGAAATTGGGACCATAATGGATTTTGAGAGCTTATATCCTTATATAAGAATAGAATCATGTTTTCAAGCACTAATGGAATTTATGCTTCTCCAGATCCTGGAATTAATTAATTTTCCAAGGAAATGAGAGTTAACTAGCTTAGTATGTTATGAATTGTTCTTTAGTTTTAACAACCAAGTTTACAGACAAAAGAAAGGGGTCCTCGTGGAAAGTTCAATATTAGGATTGTTATGTGAACTGGTATTATGAAAATATTCTTAATGATTTTATGGCGGATACAGTATATTTTAAAAGATGATGTGCAAACATTGTCTATGAAGAAACATTACTTCATAGACAATGTTTGCATCATTTGGAAAAATAAAATAATTCATGAATTTCTGGATAAAGTTAATACTAATAATGATGGACTGAAACTAAAGATGGAACAAAAGAGTTTATTAAAGATACATTTTTTGGACATAAATATCAAATTTAAGAGAGGAAATTTAGTCATCAGTGTATATGTTAAACCAACACAACACTATGTTCCATCTAATTTGAATGACCCTTATAGTACAAACTGACAGCATTCCGGGAACTTGTTAAAAGAGCATATCTGTATTACAGTAGTATACATGAGAGACTGAAAAAACTTAATAGAAGTAAAGAAATTGCTGAAACCGTAGGATACAAAACTAGAATGATAACAGAACTGATTAGAAGCTATGAAGGAAGCAGACCAAAGACTCAAAACAGCAGACTCAATACAATTTTGATTCTTTGGTCAGTTTCCTTCATAGCTTCAAAATGTACAAGTAAAATTATTTTACTTATACATTTACTATATACTACAAATTTTAAATTTTACAGTAATTATTTATTTTTAAGTATTTTTCTACCTAGTTTTGTAATTATTCAGTTTGTATTCTGAATATTGGAACTTAAATTGACTCGATAAAGATCTTAATGTTAGATCAAAAACATTAGTCAGTTTTGTTTTATACTGGAGAATTAAGTTATTAAAGCAGTTATTTTACAGTTTAAAAATAATTATTTATCAGCTACACTTTTTTATTTGATTCAGTATAGTTTATAAATTTATTTCTTTTTATAAACTATCAAATTACATCTGTTTTGTTAAACAACTAGCTTTTGCTTCAATAAGAAGTTTTGATTTTATAGTATTTGTATTAAAATTTTTCAGATTGCGCATGTTCGAGCTGAGCGTGATGTATTAGTTGAAGCAGATCATCAGTGGGTTGTTAAAATGTATTATAGCTTTCAAGATGCCATTAATCTATATCTTATTATGGAATTTCTTCCTGGAGGTATATATTTAAATGTAAACTGTTTATTTTTTTATTTGAACTGATAAAGTTTAAATTTACTTCATAGATTATTAGAAATGTTTTAGAATAATATACACAAGGTATGATCAAAAAGTTTGGGGACTAGGACTATAGGCATTAGAATCAACAACATAAGTCTTTGCCATGGTGAGGAAGTATCATCAACTTCCTGCTATAGACTACTACTCATATCACAACTCTAAGTAATTGACCCTGCCTTGCCTAATAGCACTACAGAGTGCAAAGAGACTGTATCTTAACCATAAGTAGTTGGGCACCCAGTAGCCACTGAGATGTCTGAACATTAAAGTCGGACCAAGAAAAATGCTTGGGCTCTGGCAGTACAACTCAAGTGAGGACAAGCCGTTCTTGCCTTCCTTGCTCTCAAGTCCAACTCTCTAATGTGTACATACAGTTTTACACAGATGAAAATTGTTTTACATACACTCAACCAAGAACTGAGTGATGCTTAACTTCTTGGGCTGAGGGGTCCTCCTTCCCTTACTAAGGAGATCTATCAAGCATATTGCTGAGCTATTGATCTATAGACCTCATTACATTGTTCTATCAAATTCTTTTAGTTTCATAAGCATTATGCTTTTGTTTTGGACCAGGGTAGGTAGAAACCCAATCCTAGCCCTAAAATAGACTTATCTGTTTTGGCTATGTAATAATGGTGGGATCATGAATGTCTCCACTTTTACTTTGAACAGGTGGAGGGGCTATAAGATAGTTCTGACCAAGCTTTTATGTTTCGAGCATTAAGTCAGTAACCTATTTATGTATATACCATCAATTCCTTTTCATTTCAGGCCAACTTCAGTCGGTTACCAGTCATTGTCTGATGGAGATCTGACCACAGCCAGTTCCCTCAGATAGGAGGGGGCAACTGGCACTCAGACATGGAGTGGTTTGTTTTCAGCTGCAAACCAAACTTACTGTTTGCTTTGAAATAGCTGCATTTAAGCAGTGTCGTTTTATGCTCTTTGTGGTAGTGTGCCATTGTGTAATGGCTACAAGTCAAGGTGGCCGCCCTGCAGTTGTGGGCAATATGCCCAAACTTGTAGCACCTGTAGCATCCAATTAGGGCTAGACGTTCCAAAACCCAGTTTCTTGTCCGTTAAACATGGACCTTACCTCTTTAAAGGAGTATTTTGAATAGAGGCCATGACCTCACAGACCTAATTGATGGAGCCTTTCTTCTTTGAGGGAAAACTTGGGCTTCAGGTTGTCAACCTTTATGCCCAAGTCATTTTGGGCAGAGATAACCTCTGCTAGCTTGCTAACCTCTGATGTCCTCATGGACATTGTAAATAATAAGTTTTGGATGGAGCTTTTTGGGCAGTCGATATATGACCACATCATTCAACACCTTTCTTATTGTCAACTTCTTATAGAGTACTTGTGACATTTTTTTGGAATGCAGCCTCAATAAGAACACCATTCCTCCTAACTTGGCAGATGTTTTTCACTTCTCCTTTTACTTATTAGTGTTGGTATTTCTCTTTATGCAGTTTTAGATCGCATCGTTAGAGAAAGGGTCCCTCTCTCTACTGGCCAAGGCAATCATTCATCCTGAGCCATACAGGACATATCAACTTTATTACTTTGGGGTGCTTTACCACTTTTGCTACTCCTCTAGTTTTCCTCAGAGCCTCATCCCCAGCTGTGGTTGGACATGTTTTGAAGCAGCATCTGCATGTGCCGCTTCTTCTTCTATATGTACCTGTTTGCGCAATGCCTGCTCACTAAATGTGACTATCATATGGCTAACCAGTATTTCTACCTTTGTTTTAGAGGCAAACTTTTCAACCTCTTTTGGGCTGGAGTTGGAAGCTAGATGAATGATCTGCTCAACCCTCTCAAGAAGAACAGTTGGCTGCATTTCCACCTTTGCAGCCTTCTTACTGCTAGCATTCCACTTCTTGTGGGACTGCTGGTTTTTGGTTGTGGTGCCAGATACACCAATTTCTCACTCTTTTTTTACACTGGATGCTTTTTGACATTTTCCACCTGCTCAGAATTCTCCACTTTGCACTCCTGAGAGTTTAGAGTTGCATGCATAAACTCTCTTTGATCAGCCATGATAAATAAAAATAAAGGAAAGAGGGGTCAAGGCCCACTCCCAAATATCTATGGGTGCCCCACATCCTTTTGCGAATTGGAGTATGCGTTTGAGCTTTCCCACACCTGGTTCGGCTCACTGCCAGGACAGCTACTTTTTTAATTGCTGCCTGATTGCTTGACTAGGGCCACCCCCTTGTCCCTACTAGGATACTTTCTTCTTGTTTCTGGTTTTCCAGGGCAGTTATAGTCCATCCAGCCCATAATGGACCTTTAAGTCCCTCCTCTCAAGACATAAGGTAGTTGGTCCTGTGCCACAGAGAGGCTCTACCAACTACACGTTATGATAGATAACAAGCAGAATTCTGCAAGCCACTATAGGCATATCTCCCTGGCCACCAGAAAGGCTTTGGCAATGGGAGTATAACTCCTTGCCCCACTGGCTTTGGTATGCAGGCTGCAGCCCCTAGACCAGCACCTTTCTCTTAGTAAGGGTGTACAAAGCTCAGTTTTCTTAGGAAACTGCTTCTCCTTTTCCATGTGGAAGGATTTTTACATGGCTCACAGTGCCACAGGCTCTGGGCAAGAACGACCGCATTTGTCCACCCGTAATGCATTCAACCATTGACCTGTCGCCACTGAGAAGAATGGAAGAATTTGTGAGAGTGTGTCTTGAGGGATAAAGTTGTTCCCACCATCGCCATTCTCATACTGACGTGATGTTTGAATTCAGGAGATTCAGGGTTCCAGCACCTGCAGGCCACAAAGGGCACTATGGGCACTTTACACACAAGCATATCAAATGGGGAGGTCATATTACTGCAAACAAGAGTGTTACTCAATCAAGGGCAGGGCCACAGAGTGACAGGGAAAGCTACCATATCTCAATGGCACCCTTATCAAGTGATGCCTCACAAAAGGCACCTGCTGGTGCTTTCACTGCTTATCAGCAGGGCTACCAACTTGCAACAGACAAGCCCAAATGACTATACTCAACGCAACTTATCCTATAAGATTTCCCTGGGAATCCTGTTGGTAGCAGTTACAGAAACCACTCCCTCTGTCTGTGAACATTTTGGAAGCCCCCTCCACAACATCGAAAATGGCCTCTGTGCTTTGACCAAACCAGTCTCCCCTGTTTTGATGTGAGTCTGCATTCACTATTCCAAAATGCAGCTTTGATTGCCATCTGTCCAAACAGAGAAAGATTCCAGATTGGGGAGATGCTCAAAACTCTGATGGAACTGTGGATAGGGACATGACACTTGGACAGTAAGTTTCATTAAAGCTTGGTATATAGACCCAAGGCTTATAATGTTCTGACACCTCCTGAACCTTAGACCTGAGTTTGAAAACTCCATAAATGACTGAATCCAAGGCAGGATCTTAGGATCCTCTAACCCATCCACCTCTCACTGCTTGGCTCCTTGCCACATCAAGGACAGTTCCCTACTTTGGGGACTGCTGTAGACTTAGAATTTTTTTTTTTGCATTGGTGATTGGCATGAACAAATTTATAGCAGTTCATCTGTTAGTATTTAAGTTACAGTTGATTAACAATTGCATGATTTTTGCAACTTTTAGTTTTAAAATGTGTGACATTTAAGAACAAAGAACCAATATTAAATTTTTTTGGAACTTGGAAAAAGTGACATAGATATGTTTCAAAGCTGCAAACAGCCTTTGGGAATGCTGCTATATTTTGTTTGAAGATATATGAGTGGTGTAGGCAATTTAAAAATGGTTCAACATCAAATAAATATGACTCAAGGCCACAATGACCTTCAACAGTCATCATAGACAAAAGTAAAGAAGCTATCATTAAACAATTAGAAGTTATCACTTTAAAAGAACTAGCAGGGGACTTAAATATTTTGTTTCATTCATGCCAATTGGTGTTGCACAAATTGAGATATCAGAAGAGTAGCAGTAATAATTTCTTTTTTACTTTTGTCTGTAGTGTTGAAGGTCTTTTAGACCATGGATCTTCTTCAGTTCATGTTTAATCATTTTTAAATCTCCTACATCACTCATATATCTTCAAAAAAGACAGGAATACACATTGCTTGTTCATCATACATTTTAAAACTGAAACTTGCAAAAATCACATAGTTGTTAATCAACTTTTACTCAAATACTAATGGACAAACTGTTAAGAAACTTGAGCAGTTTATAGCAGGAAGTTGACAATCGCTCTCCACCACAGCAAAGATTCTGATGTGACTCTAATGTAGCCAAACTGCACTTATTGACAGGATGCCCGAATGGTGTCGAACATGAGTTGGAGTATTGGACACAGAGACAACTCTCTCCAGTTACAAATAATTACCCAGTTTATTGTAACAAAACAAGTATCTTACAACAATAATACACTTTTAACAGGTGGCGGAGGCCAAATCTTCTGGTTCCCTTTTTCTGGATGATGAAGGTCCAAAGAGGAAAGTTCTCCAATGTTTTCTCAGGAGTCGATGGCCCCAGGGTGTAGCTAGGAAGTTTGAAGAGGATACTTAATCTGCAATGAGAATAATCTTTTCAAGATAAGAGTAGCACATTCAAAAGCATGGGTGAGGAGCCCCCGTATCTGCCAAATTTGGATTTTTATAATTTGTTTTTGGGTCCCAGATCGAACATTTCATTAGGTCAGTTTCAACTCACCTCTGCTTTCCAATTGGTCCTCACTCGTTATGAAATTTAATGAGATCAGAACCCAGATCACAGGATGAGTCAACACTGACTGGCAATTCAATTCCCATTGAAGATGTCTGATCTTTAGGACTTCCATTATTCTATTGTCTTAATTTGAGAAGTATGTTTTTTCTAAGAATTTTCTTCAAACATGTCCTTTTATGGACATGAAATTTATATTTTCCCTTTTTTTTAAAATTTATTTTACAAAATATAATTATTATCATTGTTTTCTTTTACACAAGAAAATAAAATTTAAGTTTTTTGTGTATGTGGTCCCGGTTCACTTCTGGAGCCTCACACTAACACCCAGTGTGGTCAAAGTCCTTGAATTTTTTGGTCACACCTTGTATATTGATATATACTTATATTTGCAAAAAAACATATACTCTGATAAATTTTTAGGTGATATGATGACTTTATTAATGAAAAAAGATACTTTATCTGAAGAATGTACACAATTTTATATTGCCGAAACTGCCTTGGCTATAGATTCCATTCATAAATTAGGATTCATACATCGAGATATAAAGCCGGATAATTTATTGTTAGATGCTAGGGTAAGTAGAATAAGAAATTTTATTATAGTTTAAATATAAAAATTAATATTCTCAAAAATAATAATAAAAATTTAACCTTTGTAGACTGATGAAAATTACTTTACATTATTTGACCTTGATGTAAATATGGGATATTTTAAAAAGTGTATTGAAATGAAATAAAATTTAATAATTTATGGTAATTTTTTAAATAAACATTTAGTTTTACATACTGACATATAAAGAAATATAAGAGTTTTAAATGTCTCATATTTTTTTGTCAATACATAAATTGTTATCAATAAGAAATTTTTATATTATGCATTAAAAAAATAATATAAAAATTTTTTATTGATGACAATTATAAATATTTGTGTTGCATGTTTCTTACAAATAAATCTTTGCATACATTATATACAGTTGTACTTTTGTTGTCTGTTTTAGGTCATACTATACATTTTTTTTTTCTTGGATTTTTAGGTGTTGAGGTTCTGGTTGATCCACGGATAATTAGACTTTTGCAGTTTATCCACAATATCTGTAGCTGTTGTCTGCTTTGAATATGTTGTTTAATTAATGTTTTTCTGAGTGCTTGTAAAAGCAATTGTTTTTTTTTATCCAAACAAAAAATCTTTTAAGCACAATAACTACTTCAGGATTTCTCCTCACCTGGAATCCTGGGAAATGTTAGAGAATTTTGTAATAGGGAAACTCTTATAATACATCTAATGTCAAAGAATTGTTCTGAAAATTTACAAACCATTTTTAATTCAAATTAAAGGAATTTATAAAGTTAAAAATATTTAAAATCATTTTGTGCTTTCTGATGTTATGTGTGTGCACACAATATAATCTTGGCCAATGATGATTGTTGTTGACAAAAATAAGTATTTGTAGATAACATCAGATTGGGCTGCCCTGCTTTGGGTAATAAATAAATGTGCTCAATTGCAAGACACTTATTCAGTTCTATTTTATTTCCTCTGGCTGTTCAAAATTCAGTTGACATGGTCAAAATGATTCACTATACAAACCAAAAAAAGATACAACACAAAATCTAACTCAAATATTGCTCAATAACATAAATTGCATGACTTGCATTACTTTATCCATTGTAGAATTTCTCAAATTAAATTCAGCTTATATGGGGTTCTCTCTCTCATCCATCATATACTCACCCCTGCCCTCTCCCACACAATGCTCTCTTGTATCAAAATCCCAACCAAACCAAAATTAATACCAATTGTTTAATGATCAGCCACATTGCAGCACTTACAATGATATTGTTTTATATAAGGACAGAACATGAAAATGAAACTTAATTGAATTAAATTAATGAGCATATACAATGTTTGTTAGATTATAGTTTTTCCAAAAAATTTAATTCAAAACATACTTTAATATGTTGATTATTTAACATGGAATACGACATAATGTTGCATATACTGATAGTTCCCAAATAATGCTAAATTTGTTTTTATTTCTCTTACTAATTCTACTTATTTTAATATCTCAAATATGTAATAAAATTATATATGCAATAAGGGTTGACCAAATGTAAAGTAGATACTTTTTCATATTTCATTGTGCAAAGTAACCATTGGTGGGCCACCTTACAAGAGGTAAGCTCAACATAGGCAAAGTGCAGGCTGCATTAAATATTAACAAGAATAGACTTTATCTCCAGTAATTGGCAGATTAATGTTAAGTTAGTTATGATGGAAGCATCCAGAATTCAACATCAGGTAGTAGTTTGGTTTTTAGTGGCTGAAGGGAATTGGAGTGCTGACAACTATAGACAAATGAAGCATCTTTATGGTGAACATTGTTTAGAATGAACAGCAGTGAATAATTGATGCAAGAGTTACAGAGAAGGTTGCCAGTAAATTCAGTATAAACCAAGACCAGGTCAGGCAGACACCATAATCTCCACCTCATCAATTGCTGTTGTTTTGACTTCATGACACCAGACACAATAATCAACTCAGAATACTATTCTGAAACTCTGTCAGGATGCACAAAGCAATAAAGTCAAAATACCCAGGACTTCTCATGCAAAAAGTTATTTTGATTAATGACAATACCTGTCCCCATATGGCAAGTGCAACCATTGCTATGTTACAGAAATTCTACTGAGAGATACTAGAACATTCACTGTGTAGTCCTGACCTGTCACCATGCAAATTTCATATTTTTTGACCTCTCAAGAAAGCTTTGCAAGGGCAAAGTTTTATATAGGATGATGAGGTGAAGGATAGGGTCAAAGAATTTTTTTACCAGCAGCCACCAAAATTCTATATGAGGGGCATTGATCTGCTTGTGAGATGCTGGTATCTTTGCCTAAACAAACATGGATATTTCTTTTAGATTTTCAATAAATGTTTGCCAGTTCTGATATGTCCTTTTTTCTTTTGGGCACCATTTATAAATATTTCAAATATGGTAATAGTGCATCTTTTGAAATATCACATTTTGATTAATTATCAAATATAAGAAAAATTTTAACAAAAATCAGACCATTTCAAAAATTAAAAAAAGAAATCTTTCCCAATCTTATGAACATCTAAACTCTTATAATACACTGCAGTGAGGGTTTCTAGTGCATTGGCAACCACATTTTGGCACATACCCCAGACCAAGGTTATTAAATAATATAGATGAAGAGCTGCTATTATAACCACCTTTCATTTATGATAGGGCAGTGTTTTGATTGTTCAACAGATGGTGTTGGAAGAGATGTGTTAGTGCTATGCATTTTTAAGTCTGTGGTGTTTTTTCTTATTTCAGCCTTATTTTTTGTGTTTTTATATCTTATGTATAAATGTTGGATTTAGCTTTAGATTGTATGTTTTTAAAGATAGATGATGAAAATTGTTGGTTTTTAAAAAGGAAGATGAGTGGTGAAAGTTGTTTGGTTTTTACAAAGAATAGACATGTGTATTTTGAATCAGTGGATTTTTGGGATTTCTTGGATAGCCACTTATTATGCCTGTGACCTGCTTTATTCCTGGCTGCAAAAATGGTTATAAAAGCAACAAGAGCAAAGAGAAGAGACATTTCACACCTTTGGTTGCTGAGAAACATTTATATGCTTATATACTAATGTTTTCAGCCTAATGCACAGACCATTTTCAGGTGATTGATTTTTGGAACATCAGTCACAAACTATTCTAAAATGTAATACATAAATATAGAATATCAGAACATTAAATTTTATATATTCGAATATATTAACATCTCAATAACCTGATGTATTAATAAACCACGAAGCAACAGCAGAAATAATTGGGCAGAAATTATCATACAAATATTATAATTAGAAATAACGTGATAAAAACAACTAGAGGTAGATATTAGGTTCCATCTCTTGACTAAAGAAGAAACTATAATTTGATTTTAAATTTAGAAATCAGACTATTCTAAATTTCTAAATTTAAAATCAAATTATAGTTTTTTCTTATGTAACTATCCACCTTATGTAACCACTAATTCATAATAATATAGAAATAGAAGACATTATACAATATAAATTAAAAAAAAATTTTAATTAAGAAAATATTTTTGGAAAATTTACTAGCATTTCAAACTAAATCTTCTATCATAAGCTGGAATTTTTATTAAAAAAAAAAAAAAAAATACTTTTCATACATTTCCAGCACTTCTTTATAGTACTAACAAATGTTTTCGGCTTGATTTACAGGCCTTCTTTGGTTAGAAGCCTTCTAATTGGAATGGATTCTAACCTGAAGAAGATCTGTAAATCAAGCAGAAAACATTCATTAGAACTATAAAGAAGTGCTGGAAACGTATGAAAAGATGTGGTTTCTTTTTTTTTTACTTTGGGTGGTGCCAGAGCCTCTTGTCCCCCTCTGGGTGCACCACTGTAAAGTGATATCAGATAAGAAGCTTTTAATAAGGACTTATCTTAAATAGTCACTTTTGCTAATGAACTTATTTGCTTTTATTTTTATGTATCCTTTGAAAATATTAAATTGGCTTTTTATCTTAAATCTGTGATTTTTGACTGCAAGTGTCTGTCGAGTTTCAAAGTTATCATGTCATCATTGGATAAACTTTGAATGAACACATAACACAAAGTGGCCATGGATCTAGCTTATTTCCAGTTCTTAAATAAAACCAAATTTCATCGTATTTTCTTGAAACTTTCAACTTTTTCTTCTCTGCCTCAAGTTCTAATTTTCTTCCTGTTATTGTCTGGCAGGTGCTATGGAGGGTCTGATTCATTGATCAACTCATAATTATGCAAAATGTTTGGTTGTTTTTTCTCACTCATTGGAAATTTTTTTTTTATTTGAATCTAAAACCAAACAAGAAATGACTTTTATCAAACTCAATGTCTTTGATGCCATTAAATAGCACTTTGCACAGTTAAAGTAAAAATATCACTGATTACTTACATAACAAAAATATCATATTAAAAACAGTGTCGAAAGGTTATCTTATTCCAGATTTTAAAAACTCCACAACTGATTAATAGTATACTGATTAATAATATAATATAATATAATACTACCATCATAGCAACTGATTAATAATATAGACCAGCGTTTCTCAAAGTGGGCAATAACGCCCCCTTGTGGGCAATGAGTAAATCTAGGGGCACTGGAGGCAGGGTATTGAATGGTGACCAAAGGCAAAATTGGGGTCACTGAAAGCCGTTCCCTTTCCTCTGTTAAACTGATAAGAGGAAACATTGTGTTTAATGGTTTCCAGATGTTGAGAACAATGTACGGTAAGGTCACAGAGTGTGAGATTCATAGAAAAGTTTTCTAAGAATATTTCCAATCCTTTCTCACAGAAGAAGGGAAAATGGGTTAGGGGCATTGGGTATAACTTTATGGAACAAAGGGAGCAGTGGATCGAAAAAGTTTGGGAATCACTGATATACAGTAGACCCCCCTATAATTACGGTTCCTATAATTACGATTCCTATAAAACTGCGAAAAAATTGCGGCGGTATCCGTAAAAAAACGGTAAAAAAACTCCTATAATTACATAAA